TTTTTATCTGTTTTGATTTTTTTCTGGCTATTTTTTAGGATACAAAAAAGGAAGTTTTCTCCAGGTGTTTGTGGATTTTTTAAATTAATTAATTAACTAATTTTATTAGTGAAACACCATGAGGTACAGTTGTAGACTTACAAACTTTCGTGCTTGGGTTTCAGTTATACAATGATGAATACTCATCCCTCCACCAGTGCCCATTCTCCACCACCAATGAACCCAGTAGCCCTCCCACCCAACCCCACCCAGCCCCACCTCTGTGGCAGGGCATTCCCTTTTGCTCTCTCTTTCTTTTATTGTGTTATGGTTTGCAATAGAGGTATTGAGTGTCCATTGTGTTCAGTCTATAGTCAACTTTCAGTACCCATCTCGCATCCCAAGAAAGTCCTCGAAACACCCTTTACTTGGTGTTCTTTTCTCTATCTGAGCTGCCTTTTCCCCAGCATGTGCTGCCAGCTTCCAAGCCATGGAGCAGACCTTCTGGTACTTATCTCAACCATTATTGGGTGTTCGTCTCCCATTCCCCAGATGAGTGCAGTCTTTCTGTGTCTGTCCCTCTCTTTCTGACTCATTTCACTTAGCATACTTTCCATGTAGAACCACTTGTGGTGTTTGTGGATTTCTACATAATCCCCTCCAACTTCTCCCGGGCCTCTCTGAAGGTTTCTCTGAAATGGCTTTTTGTGTCTGAAAACAAGTGGTTGGGGCGGGGGGGGGGGGGCTTTGAATAGGAATCATAGTGCTGAGGTTCGAGTTGGAGCAGTATAGCTATCTATGAACCACTGAAGCTAACAGTGAGCTCATTGTCCCTACGTGCATCACTCTGACCAATTTCACCTGGGACTATTCACTGAACCACCTTCATGCCACGTGATTCTACCCAAGACAGCAAATCTATTTCAGCAAATCCATACGAAGCTCAGTGGTACGATGGACTCAGAAGCCTTTCCGCAGTTCCACAGCCTATTCAGTCATCTCAATCCAACATCCTTATCTCAGTCTTTTACTATTTGTCCTCTGTTAACAGAAGATGTCTACAGTTGAAGCTGATCTGAAACCATTGCTGGGATTGTGGCAACCCAGACATTGAGTCTTGATAAAGGATACCAGTCCCTTCTGTGATGACTCATGGTCTGTGTGTAGTTGACTGAACCACGGTGCCCCAATACATGGGCAAACATTTTCCTGGGTGTTTCTGTGGAGTCATTTATGAATAAGATTAACATTTAAGTCCAAGAACCTTGAGTAAGGCAAAGCGGCCTCCAAAATAGGGGTGGAGATCATCTGGTGAGTGTGGGCCTGGCTTCCACACACGGGAAGGACTGCCAACACAACCGCCTTGGACATCATCGTTACTATCCACTCATCCCTGGGTCTCCAGACCATGCCCTCCTTGCAGATGGCAGAGCTGCCTGGGTACATGATCAAGCCAGCCAGATTAAAAGAAATCTCTTTGTATAAATGTGTGTCTAGACTCACTTCTGTGTATATAGGCATTCTGTAGAGCACCCTAATTCACCCCCACCCAGCATCCAGATCTTTGACGTAGAAGGCTCTGTCTTGGCAGGAAGGGCTGGGAGTTGGTTGGCGATTCTAAGGTCTAGGAGGTGAGGGAAGGAGAAGGTACATTCAGTAGGCCTGATCTATGACTGGGTAGATAGCAAGGGTGGAAGAACAGGGAGAACTAAGGAAGAGAAGCAACTTCTTCTAATGACTGTGCCAGAGAAGCAGCCTACAAAATGATAGGTGCCTGACAGGATATCAATAATCAATAATCAATGCAACTTGGTTAAAGTTAAAATATGACAAAGTATTTTTATTTTTAGGCCTCATCATGTCTTTTGGTAGTGGAAGGGTTGGGCTACATCCAGTGATCCTCAAGGCTTACTCCTAGTTCTGTGCTCAGGAGTGACTCCTGGCAGTACTCCGAGGATCATATGTGGTGCCAGAAATTGAACCAGGGTCAGCTGGGTGCAAAGCAAGGACCACAAACTATGTACTGTCTCTCTGACCCTCCATCGTGTGATTTTGTACACAGCTCCCTTCATTGCTTTCATCCTGGACTCTAGGGGCTTGGGATATTACCTCTTCCACATTTAAGCCAATCTTATCATATAGGTATTGACATATGCTGTGTACACAGTTCCAGCTCAGCTTCCCACCCTCGGTCCTAATCCTCTTGCTCATAGATCTGACTGTCATCAGCCACAGGTCCCATTACTTAGGGCTAATAGCGAGCTCACTGTCCCTACATTGATCACTTTGACCAATTTCACCTGAGACTATTCACTGACCCACCTTCACTCAACATGATTCTACCCAAGACAGTAGAATGATGGAAGCTTTCCTTCTCTCACAGAACCTCACAGCTATGCCCTGTTTGTGGGGCAGATGGGTTCCTGAAGATGTATATGAAGCATCCCTTTGTGAACTATTTTATAGTTGAGGACATGTTGACTATTGAAGAGAATTTGACAAGTACCTCCTTCTTTGATGTGAGAAGCTATCCTGATTTAAGATGGTAATCTCTCTCTAACGGATGTTTATGAGGTTCTACTTTCAGCTTTAGAGGTTTAATTAAAAGGTAAAGGTAAAGGCCCTCCCGTTGTTCATCGATTTGCTCGAGCAGGCCCAGTAACGTCTCCATTGGAGATTTTGTTGTTACTGTGTTTGGCATATCGAATACATCACGGGTGGCTTGCCAGGCTCTGCCGTGCGGGCGAGATACTCTCAGTAGCTTGCCGGGCTCTCCGAGAGGGGCGGAGGAATCGAACTCGGGTCGACCATGTTGGCTGCGTGCAAGGCAAACGCCCTACCACTGTGCTATAATTAAAGCAAAATAAAGCTATCCTTAATAACACGCAATGTCTGAGACAATTATGATATAAATGCCTTATGGATCACCATTAAGTAGCTAAATGTCTCCAATGAACATCAAGTTGTCCAAGTCAAACTGAACATCAACTCGGTGAGGAAAGAATGTTACTATCATTGACTGTTCCATGATTTTAGAAAGAAGACACAAAGAAGGGAATCAGAATCTGTTTTATTTTCCCTAGAGTTATAAACATTTGTATCAAAATATTTACAATAATAGTATATGAAATATCAATCTATTAAAGGAGAAGCCAAATACAGTACTAGAACAACTCACCAAGGTAATGCAAATTACATGAGATGTAAATGTCACAAAAACAAAGCAAAAGACTAGGGAAGACATGGTTCACTCCAGTCACCATTGAACTTTTTAACGTAATGTGAGAACTCGTTTGAATATATCTCTTCTCTAGGTATGCTTCTGCATGTATGGTGGTCTTCTAGAAATCAGGTGATAATTCAATGATATGTGTTCATCAGCCTACAATTTTCACTAATCAATCTCTACCACTAGCCCAGATAATTTGGTGGCTTCAACATTCCCTTAACTAGAATGAACATAGAGAAATAAAAGTCCTTGTACATAAATACCAGCAATCATGGTATAACAACTCCCCCTCCAAAAGAAAAGATTTAAAAAATAGGCAAGATGTCTCAAATTCTCCCTGTAGGTCTTCTTCTAGGGTGATTAAGGAAATGTCTCCCTTCACCCCACCCCCCAAAAAAAGAATCCCTTTTGGCAGAACCTGAGCTGGTTTATCATAGGTGCCCCAAGCCAGAACAATGCCTGGTGCTGGGGAAGTATAACACAACTCCAGGACTGGAGACTAATCCCCATTTTCAGCTCAACAACCCTCTGACTTGTCACCACAGGAGGTTTTGCCTGATTTTTGTTTTTTTCTTCAAGAAAATATCTGCCCATCACCCTCTATTTTTATTTATTTATCTCATGGGAGTCTCTTATTTTTCTGGGAATCCATCCCTCTGTTCTCATTGAGTGAAACCCAGCAGGCAATAATACTTGACAACTGTGTAGCACCTTGCACCCCAGTACTCATCACTGAGTTTTGGTTCGTGTGTGTCTGACGGTCTTCCAGAATCCCCGGTGATGGGGGGCGGGGCAGGCAGGGTCCTTGTAAGGTGACTGCGCTGGTCAGGGTGGAAGCTAGAGCTGCCACGGAGCCCTTGAGGGGACCCCTGGTCCCCCACCCCACCACCACCACCACCACCACCACCATGTGGGTGACTGGACCGACTTCCTGAAAGGCTTCTGCTTTCGAGGGTGAGTAACAGACTGTATCACAAGGAACGATGCCCCGCCCCCCACCCCCACAACATAAGGAAACACTGATCACATAAAGAAGACATCCAAAGAACAGAATTCTAAATAGGTCTGTAGACTGGCCACCCCCGACCTTGGCATGGGGGCCCTCACTGCCAGGTTTGTTCGTTGGTGGCTACGGAGGCCCCTAGAGCTGCCTGAGCTGTAAGCGAGAGTCTAGCAGAGTCCAGAGTAAGACAGTGGCTGAGTCTGAGCTCTGACCTGGCACCCCGGGGCCTTCCACTCTGACAGGAGCTGGTGGCTGGCTGGCTGGCTCTTCCACACACCCCCACAGAGCCACACGCCCACAGGACACGGCCCTTCCTCACCCTCACACCCCAAGTGTTGTCTAGCTTTGGAGCCCGGCAGGCAGGGCAGCTTCCGGGAGTCGTGGGCGGGGGGGGGGGGGGGCGAAGCTGATTCCACACACACTGTCCATGCTTGTTGGAACTTGGGAACCTCGGTCTCCACTGGGGGCAGCCGAGGCGGGTCTCAGAGACCCCAGACCCACCCTCAGAAGCCGAGTGGGCAGCAGAGCTAATGAACGAGGCCCAGGGCAGCATGTGGGGCAGTGGACAAGAGATTTTGAGGGTGGGGGGAGCACCGCCTTTCTGGAAGCAAGGGCAGGGGGCTCCCCAGTCGGGGGGCCTCCTCTGGAGTGGTTTGGGCCTCGGTCTCCCCCCTCCCCCTCCCCCCACCCATCTCTAAGGTTGCTCTGCACCCAGGGCAACTTCTACCTCCCTCCCAGACTCAGCTGCTGTCTCTCCCCGCCCCCCACCCACCCAGCCCCGTCGCGGGACGGCTCCCCCTCATTTCTTCCTCAGCACCAGGTAGAGGATGCCGATGATGAAGCTGAAGCAGAAGCAGATCCAGGTCAGGATGAAGCAGTAGCCGTGGTGGATGCTGCTGCTGTAGGTGAAGTTGTTGGTCTTGCTGGCGTACCTGTTGGTGTAGATGGACGCCCCAACCAGGATGCACAGCCCTGCGGGGAGACGGGGCCGTGAGCATCAATCTGCCTGTCTGGTCAGTACTTCCGCTTTTTGTTTGTTTGTTTGTTTGTTTGTTTTTGGTCTGGAGATATGTTTTTTTTAGTCGGGGTAGGTGGTCTCACTAAAACTAAGAAAATTTAACCCCAGAGAAAAAGCACGACAGGGGCTGGAGCGATAGCACAGCAGGCAGGGCGTTTGCTTTGCACGTGGCTGACCCGTGTTCAATTCCCAGCATCCCACATGGTCCCCTGAGCACCGCCAGTTGTAACTCGGGGGTGCAGAGATAGGAGTAACCCCTGTGCATTGCCAGGTGTGACCCAAAAAGTAAAAAAAAAAAAGAAAGAAAGAAAGAAAGAAAGAAAGAAAGAGCACGACAGCATGGAGCAGCTGTTCTGCATGAAGGAGATCTGGGTTCAGATCTGGGTTCCGACCCCTGGCACTGGGTGGTCTCCGAGCACTACCAGAAATGAGCCAGGAATAGCTCCTGAGCACTGTCAGATATGACTCAAAAACTGAAAATAGGGGTTGGAGGGGGATAGTATAGCAGTGGGAGAGCACTTGTCCTGCAAACACACTCCACCACACCTGTCCGAGCCAACTCCAGCACCCTAGATGCTTTCCCGGGCATGACCCCTGAGTATAGATCCGGGAGTAAGCCCTGAGCACAGCCAGGTGTAGCCCCCAAACCCAAACCAAAATTAAACTCAAAGAAAACAATGAGACTTGATGCTTCTAAAGCTACTGCTTGTCTCCCTGGCCAGGGAGGAATGAAATCAGATGGTCGGATCCCAAACACTGGACTGGTCACTAGGCCCAGAGCCAAGGGTGATGGTTATGTGGGTGCATCTGCGAGCAGGGTGCCTCTCCTGTCTTCACTGGTTGGACAATCTTCCACAGAGCACCCCAGCTTTGCTATCTGAAGCCCAGCATAAGGCAGCAGGGGGATCCAGGGATACCAAAGAAGAGCTGGGGCCCCCAAACTGGGTGCATTTGGGAAGGTGGCAAAAAGGTTTAAAGCGGCTCAGATGATGCGCCTGGCAGAGCCGGTCTCCTGCCCTCCCACCTCATGAAGCATCTGCCCACTGCTGAGATGGCACCTCCATTACAACAACCAACCGCATGAAGGTTCTGAATCCCAGCTGCCAGAGGCTCTCAAGAAAAGAACCAGCCACGAACAGAGGGGCCGGTACAAAGCGGGGTCCCCAAGCCCAGCTGGACCCCCTTGCCCCCACCAAGGACACTCACAGCACACCAGCATGGTGGCCCCCGAGAGGAAGAAGCGGTTTCCTTTCTCCATGGTGAAGAGCTGGAACACGAAGATCAGGAGGGAGATGACGGAGAAGATGATGGCGAGGATCATGAAGGCCTGGACCGTCTTGAGGGCATCTGCAGAGACAGGATGAGGAAACCGAGGCATGAGACTCAGCCCCGCAGCCCGGTTGGGGTCTCCCCCTGCACACACACCTCCCCGAGCACAGAAGCAGGCAAGGGTCCGTACCTTCTCCGGCGTAGGACAGGGGACCAGTGCAGGAGCCGTCCGTGCAGTTTTTCCAAAGACCAACAGATGATTTTGTAGTCTCTGAGACCACCCACACCTGAAACCAAAGGCAGAGAAAATGTCTGGGAATGGCCCCTCTGCTTTGGAAAAGGCAACTTGGCTCTGACTGGAACCAAATCTAGCTGCTGGAATCAGTCACCAGGCAGAGCCTCTCATGGTCGGACGGAAAGAAGGTCGGACAGAAACAGAAATTGTTGAGGCTCCCGGAGGAAAGAGAGGAAAGAAAAGAGATGTGCCCGGGGAGAGAGCACATCTGCACTCGGGCCTTCCCCTCACTCGTCCGTGCAGACACAAAACCAACACCTGAGGTAAGCCGAGAGAGAGATTGAGACTCTAAAGCTGCTAAGACCTAAGACACAGAAGACCCGGATGAAGACACTGACGTCCAGTAGGTCCAGCCTCCACTCGCCGTGAAGTTCACCTCCTGGAAAGGCCGGGCTGAGAGGGACAGAAACAAAGGGAGGGGAAATAGTCAAGCGGAGCTAAGCGAGAAAGCAGCTGTGAGCCCATCCGCTGAAAACGGCCCCTTTCAGCTCCACAGAGGACCAGCTCTCGTGGCCATGCACGGACAGTCAGGAATGACGGCCCCAGAGTGGCCCTATGGAGGTCAGCTGGAAGAAGTGTCCCCAGAAGGTATGTCTGGGACTCCTCCTGCGACCAGGATAACTTCGGAGCTGCTGCTCGGGACAAACACTGTCGAATGTACACTGAGCAGAGAGGGCTCGGGCAGGACCCCAGCAACGTTGGGGTGCTGAGCCAGAGGTGACGGGCGCTGGTGCCACATTCAGCATCGGCCTTTCTCCTAGAAGGCCCAGGGTTGACCGGAAGAAGGGCAAAGTCGGACTGTCCAGCAGGCCTCCAGTGCTGAGACGGCGTCTTCTCACAGCTATGCTCCGGGGACCCCTCTGGTCATCACGTCCACCCGTCTCAGCAAAAGTCTCCTACGCCAGTCTGGACACTTTTGCAAACCGAACTCTCTCATCCAAACCCGTCCTTTAACCATCAAGGGCACCTGAACAGATTCTGATGCCTGCATCAGTCAGCCTGCTGGGGTCTGGCCATGGGGGGTCCTGGGTGGTCTTAGCAAATCAGATGCTATGAACCACCACTAGAGGGCGGAGTCTCCCACAGTTTCCGGGAGAGGCAGGCGGCTGCCTTGGTATTTTCCGGTTGACTGATTTCTCATCACTCATCTTAAAGACCCCCCCTTGTGACTGGCATTTTCTACTCAGAACTTGGATTCGTCATCCAGGCAACCAGAGCTGCTCATCATGCCATGCCACCTGTCTTCTCAAAGACCCCGGGAGGAGGAGCGTGCTGCTGCAGTCCAGCTGGACACCCCTGTCTGGACCGTGTCCCCTTGCTCTTTCCCACCTATCCCAAACCCCATCTCCACACCCAGCGGGGCTTGCACAGACTCAAGAAGCCTCCAGCGCTGCTGAGCGACCTCCCGCAGACCCTGCCTCCCTCTGGCCACTGTGTTGTCGGGGGTGCTGTGCACCCTTTCCATGATGAAAGTGGAAGTTTGGGGTCAGAGGGATCGTACAGCAGGTCAGGCTGATAGATGCAGGTTTGATCCTCAGCACCCCATACAGTCCCCCGAACCCCTTCTGAAGTGCTCCCTAAACACAGTGCCAGGAGTCAGTCCCGAACACCACCCCAAAAAAGTGAAAGTTCAGGAAGGACAGGGACAGGGGCTAAAAGGTGCCTTGAGGGACTGCATGGAATTCTGCGAATAACTTTGGAATGAATGAATGAATGAACCGATCCGTGCACAGAGGAACTCACTCACATTGGCAATGGTGGAAACAAAGAGCATGATGACGGTGGCGATGTGGACCACAACGATTCCAGCCAGTAAGACCAGCATCTTGGCTTGGTGGGGAGGATGAGCAGAGTGTCTGAAAGAGAGAAAAGGTGACCATCAGGGGCAAGAAGGTGACTCCTCTTTCCCACCTTTGTGGGCTGTGCTACAACCCGGAGCCACAGCCGGGGAAAACCATCCCAGTTTGATCGGACATCACTGCAAACACCTTGTTAGCCCAGAGCCGTGTAGTAGCACCTAGCTAGAAACCGTTTCTGCTTCTTGGCTCTTTCTAGACTCGTTTCTCTAACCCTGCCTGTTTCGAAACACAAAAAAACACTGGATGGAATCTGCCGGTATTTTCTTGCTTGTGTATCGGAGGCCTCAAGTAGGCCCATGATTTCAAAAGGCCTTATCCTAAGGAGGATTTCCCGACCTCGGAAGCAGCTCTCCCGGGGAGTTTGAGAGAAATGGATGCCTCTGTGGAATCTCAGCTCCACACCCAGGCACGAGAGAGGCTGTTCCCTTGCTCCCGGATGCGATCTAACGTGCAAGAGCCCCGGCTGGTATTATTACGAAGCTATTTGGTCCTCAATTTCTACCACTCCCTAATTACAGTCAAACAGGTTAGAAACCGCCGAGCAATGCTGCAAACTTTGGGGCTTGAATTCCTCTGTGCTCTGGAGGCCGTGTTAGAGTGAGTGCCCACAGCTCAGGGAGGGCTTTCTGGGGGAGCAGTCGAGAGACCACCAAATGTGATCACTTCAACCAGTGACATTCCAATCCTCCGGGTTCCATAGAGAAGACTAGGCAGCTGTGAAAAAGCACAGTGTGTGTGTGTCTGTGTGTGTCTGTATGTCTGTGTTTGTCTCTGTGTGTGTCTGTATGTCTGTGTGTGTCTGTCTGTGTCTCTGTGTGTATGTGTATGTCTGTGTGTTTGTGTGTCTCTGTGTGTGTCTGTATGTCTGTGTGTGTCTGTGTCTCTGTGTGTGTATGTGTATGTCTGTGTGTCTGTGTGTGTTTCTGTGTGTGACTCTGTGTGTATGTGTGTCTCTGTGTGTGTATGTGTGTGTCTCTGTGTGTGTGTGTGTGTGTGTGTGTGTGTGTGTGTGTAGGGGAGAATAGGGGGTGGGAGTCAAGGGAGGCCGAGACTGTGCTTGGGTGAGAACATTCAGCCGTGCTTTGCATCCAGAGGAGGCGCGTGGCTCACAGAACCCGGTGGTGAAGAGAGTGTGGAATGCCACAGGGAGGCTGTGCCCCTGTCTGCACCCTGCAGTGTTCAGGGGGAGTTTCCAGGCGGGGCTGTGAAAGGAACGAGCTGGAGGTCACTCACATCCTGAGCGGCCCGGGCAGTGCCACCCTCCTGGCATCTGCCCCACCTAGTGTAATCCCAGACGCCTGCTGCATCGCTGTCAGACAGCACGGAGGATAGGATCGGGTGAGAGCGCAGCCGCCCCTCTGCAATCTCTCACCTGCCTTTCCTCCCGCTCCCACCTCCCCGGGCATCCGGGTCTGGAGAGATCTGCACGCAGGCAGCTCTGGAGGAGGCGGGAGGCGAGGGCAGCAAAGAGCCCTGCCCTGGCTTTCACCTTCCACCGTCCAGCTCAGCTGTGCTCCCCGGAAGTACTTTGCCCTGTTGACCTGTGACTGAAACCAGGAGGGCGGGCGGGGCCTGGAGCTTTCTCTGCTGCTATTGAAACTCATGGTGCATTTACGCTCCTCCCCACTGCCCGCTCTCTCCACACAGGGCAGAGAGGTGCTGGGATTAGGCAGAGGTGGCCTTCCCATCCCCCGAGTGACTGGACCTTTCGGTCTCTTTCCTCTTATGTCAAGTGAAGTGGCCGTGTAGGTCGGACAGGGCGCTAGGGCGCTGTGAGGGCGGGTCTGGGGGAGGGTCAGTCCAGGGCGGGCCACATTCAGGGCGAAGGGAGCGGCCCATGCTGGGGACACCCTCTCACCTCCCTGCGTGTGGGTTAGGCGACAGCCGCACTCACAAGGCAGCATGGGTGTCCCGTGTCTAACCCTTGCCCCAGGGGCGGGCGCCATAAAGAATGAATGAAGAATGAGCGGGAGAACGCTCGCTCACCCCAGCCGGTGATCAACCTCCAGCAACCCCAGAACTCACTCGATGGGGCGTTGCCCCTCGCAGGGACTGGGGGGTGGGTGGGGGGCAACACAGGAGATTGCGCATGTCCCAGAGGAGCCTGAGAATGACTTTCTCGTCCCGTTTAACCAACATCCTCATCCTCCACTAAGAGTGAGAATTGGCTGAGGGATCGAGAAGGGACTATCACCCCCCAAGTGGGGCCTCATAATGGGACGCAGGCAAATCTGGGGACGAGGTGTCGGACACAGTCGCGTTTATTCCCTCCCGGGGCTGCTGTCGGGGCCCTGCAGAGGTGGGTCTGGGCCCCTGGCCACACTGTCAGGGTAACAGAGCTCGTGCAGTTTCTCCCCAGCACAGCAGCCCTGGCCAGAGCTAGGCCGAGCGGACGCTCCCACAGAGCTCACTCTCCCTCTCCCAATTCCCCGGGCGGGTCTGGGTTTAGGTCACTGTCTGCTTGGGGTCCTCCCCCGCAGACAGGGGACAGAGGAGCTGTCCCATGGTTCTGAGTCATCCCTGCTACCCACCACCCCAGAGAGAGGCCCCCTTCCCACCCCCACGGACAGAGCCTCGAACCTGGGGTGTGGGCAGAGCAGAAAGGGAGAACCCAGGGGTTCTGGGTTCAGGGTACCCTCCCCTCACCAGCCGCACGACACTGGGGACATCGACCACCAGGTGCTTAGTGCTCTTAGTGCTTCTCAAGACCCAGAAGGAAGCGCCTGGACTGTGACGGCAGCTCACACCCTCACAACAGTGCACACCCTCACAGTGCACACCCTCACACCACCTCACACTCTCACAGCGCACACCCTCACAACACACACCCTCACAACACTTCACACTCTCACAGCGCACACCCTAACAACACCTCACACTTTCACAGCTCACACCCTCACAGCTCACACTCTCACAGTAACACAACTCTCCCTCACAGCTCACACCCTCATAGCCCACACCCTTCACAACACCTCACACTCTCACAGCTCACACCCTCACAGCCCTCACCCTCACCGCTCACACCTTCAGGTTAGATTCTCACGGTTCACACCCTCCCAGCTCAGTCAGGGCTGGGAGTACTGGCGGCCACTGCTGCCACCGCCTCTCCTGAGTCTGTTTCACTCCAGCTTGGATGCTTTCCCTCCCGCCTCTGGAATGCCATGGGGTGCTCCCCAAGGCACACCCCCCACCCCCCACCCCCCCACCCCCGCCTAGCCCAGACCAGGAAATGGAGAAGGCCAGTAGTGTGATTCTGAGTCGGGGGTATAGCCCCACCTCCTTGTCCGGTTGTTCCTATCCACCTCCATCTGCATTGGTTTCTTGTGTTCCCCTCAGACCCAAACTCCCAAAATGAACAAAAGATGCACAAGAACACGCCCTGACATCAGGTGGCCTGTCACGTCCAGGGATCGGGAGCAGATACGGGATGAATCTGGGGGTGGGTCTGGGGTGGATCTGAGGTGGATCTGAGGTAGATCTGGGGTGGATCTGAGGTGGATCTGGGGTGGATCTCGGGTAGATCTGGGGTGGATGTGGGATGGATTTGGGTGGATCTGGGGTGGATCTGGAGTGGATGTGGGGTGGATCTGGGGTGGATCTCGGGTGGATCTGGGGTGAATCTGGGGTGGATATGGAGTGGTTCTGTGGTGGATGTGGGGTGGATGTAAGGTGGATATGGGGTGGATCTGGAGGGGATCTCAAGGTGACCTGGGTGGATGCTGCTGCAGTGCCTACGGTTCACTGAGTGGGATCACAGATGCTGCCAAGGGGAGAGACTTCCCCTAGAGGGCTCCAGAGGGCTGCCTGGTGCCACTGACAGTCTGGGGGGCGGACTGGGGAATGAGGGACAGTTTAGTCACTTCCCGGCTGCCTCTGCTAGCAGTGGTGGCCGTGGATATCCCCTCTCTCTTGCTACTCCACAGCTGGGCCCTGTCAGGTCCCGTTCCTGACTCCCTTCTCCCATTCCAGCTTTGACAATGACATCTGTCCCTCTGGGGGTACCTCAAGTCCCCCAACACCCCATAGAAACAAGTCACCCAATATCTCATGTGGACCCTGGGCTTTGGCTTTAAACGCTTTTGCATCCTTCCTCCAGGAACTACCTGAAAACAACCAAGAAGCTCGAATCTTGTCTCCTCCAAGAAGCCTTCCCAGCTGCACAGGTGAGCTGAGGCCTTAGTTGCCCCTTGTAGGTTCCAGGCTTTACAGAGACCATTATTAAACCCCACAGCACCCTGCTTGGGAGCAGGATTATTTATGGGTTGACTCCACTAAGAGTCACCGAGAAAGACAATGTGTGAAGAGACAGAACAAATATCAATGATCAGTCCCATGAGTAAAACACTGGATGAAGGAAGGAACATGTTATTCCAGGCAGAGAAAATCATCCAGGGCAAGGTGGTGAAAGGCTTCCAAATAAACACTAACATTCTAGAAGGGGGGAAGTTTCCTTTTTCTCTGCAGTCCTTTATTGTTTTTTTTTTTTTCGGAAGTATTGGCATATTATTACGACTCTGTCCTGGGCATGTCTCCTTGGCCAGCGCTGTGGGGCATATTCCCCTACTCACCCGTGTGAGCACACAAACATCTCCCGAGCCCCCAGACACCCACACACCCGGGATGCATATACGCGCTGTCTTCAAGGAAGAAACACGTTAAAGAAGACACCAAAAATTTCTAAGTACTAATTTTTCCACAAATTCAAATTTTCTGTCTCCCCCTTCAATGTGAATCATCTCTGGAGGGATAGAGGACTTTTAAAAGGCTCTCTGCCCTCAGAGCAAATCCAAACGAAAGAGCTGTCCTCACTCCTGCCCGCGGGCAGCTCACTCCCTGCCCAGACTGTCCCCCTGGGGTTGTGGGCTGCTGCCCGGTGGCCTGGACTTCCCCATCTTTGTCCCTCCCCTCCCGCCCCCACCCCCAGTCACAGGCTTCGTCTCCAGGCCGTCTCACAGGCCTTTGGTGTCGAACTTGAACTTCCAGATCATTCTGGAATT